GGTGTCCCTCCCGTTTGGTATTTATAGCTCATTATCATTCCTTTCAGTTCAGATGCAATTTACCAGTCAGAGGTCACTTTTCCTATAAGCGATGTTGTCTAATAGCATTTTGATGCATAACACTTTTATCTGTTTACAGGAAAATAGTTAACCAAAAGTCAAACTCTCAGGCAGCATCATGTCATTCCTTAGCATTTTATTAGCATAAAAATGATATAAATTTAATCATAATTACATATACTTAAAATTAAATATTTAATATTAACTGAAAAGTTAATATGTATTATGTCTTAGTTAATAGGATATTAATATTAAATTTCTTTAATTTCTTTGTTGATCACACAGGAGAATGTAGACATTCTCAGGAGATAGCTGCTTAACTATTTAAGGGCAAAATGTCATATCTGCCATGTTTTTTGTTTTGAGACAGTCTTGCTCTGTTACCCTGGATAGAGTTGCAGTGGTATCATCACAGCTCACTGAACCTCAAACTCCCGGACTCAGGTGATACTCTTGCCTCACCCTCCCAAGTAGCTGGGACTAGAGGTACCTGCCACAACACCAGGCTAATTTTTTCTCTGTTTAGTAGAGATGAGGTCTTGCTCTTTTGCTCAGGCTGGCCTCAAACTCCTGAGTTCAGCAATCCTCCCGGCCTCAAATTCCTGAGTTCAGCAATCCTCAGCCTTCTGGAATGCTAGGATTACAAGTGTGAGCCATGGCACCCAGCCATGTCCACATTAACCCTCAGAAAGTTCAGGGAGAAAAAATGTACATCCACACATATATACTCATATATATATATAAAAAGACAAAGCAAATGTGATTAAATATTAAAAACTAGCTAGTGGTGATCTATATGATGGACATCTGAGTGTTGATTGAACGGTTTTGTTTTTTTTTCCTGTTTACAGTATGGTTTACTGAAGACTGAACTATTGTTGCAAATTTTCTTTAGGTCTGGAATTTTTTTTTTTTTTTTTTTAGAGATAGTCTCACTTTATTGCCCTTGGTAGAGTGCTGTCATATCACAGCTCACAGCAACCTCCAGCTCTTGGGCTTAGGTGATTCTCTTGCCTCAGTCTCCTGAGTAACTGGGGCTACAGGCACCCGCCACAATGCCCAGTTATTTTTTTGTTGCAGTGTGGCCAGGGCTGGGTCTGAACCTACCACCTTCGGTATATGGGGTCGGTGCCCTACTCACTGAGCCATAGGCACTGCCCTAGGTCTGGACATTTTTAAAACAAAATGATGAAAGAGGCTGATGCCTGTAGCTCAAGTGGCTAAGGTGCCAGCCACATACACCAGAGTTGGCGGATTCAAATCCAGCCCAGGCCTGCCAAAGAACAATGACAACTACAACCAAAAAATAGCCAGGTGGTGTGGTGGGCCCCTGTAGTCCCAGCTACTTGGGAGGCTGAGGCAAGAGAATCGCTTAAGCCCAGGACGTGGAGATTGCTGTGAGCTGTGCTGCTACAGCACTTTACATAGGGTGACAGCTTGAGGCTCTGTCTCAAAAAAAAAATCAAAAAACACAAAAACAAAATGAAAGAATTTGATATGTACAAATATACATATCAAAATAAGTAATTATGCCTCAGAGTAGTAAAATGATAAGTGAATTTCTTCCTTCTTTTTACTCTTCTGCATTTTACAAACTATTACCTTAAAAAAAATTTATTGCACCTGTACCTAGCCTTCCAGAAGTTTAAATTAGAAAGTAGCTGTAGGCTCGGCGCCTGTGGCTCAAGTGGCTAAGGCGCCAGCCACATACACCTAAGGTGGCAGGTTCGAATCCCCAGCCCAGGCCTGCCAAACAACAATGATGGCTGCAACCAAAAGATGGCCGGGCGTTGTGGTGGGCGCCTGTGGTCCCAGCTACTTGGGAGGCTGAAGTAGGAGACTCGCTTGAGCCCAGGAGTTGGAGGTTGCTGTGAGCGTGATGCCATGGCACTCTACCCAGGGGGACAGCTTGAGGCTCCATCTCAAAAAAAAAAAAAGAAAGTAGCTGTAAATTTTAGGTGCCCTGTGAGTGATTAACATATTTCCATACCTGAAAAGGGGTACTATTTCCTTAATGTCCTTTAGTTTCTTAACTTCCTCATCTCGAGCAGGTGCACACAGTGTCCCCATCATGCCAGTAATGAATTCTGCCAGCGTGGAAATGTCTAGGGCACCATTCTCTGCTTCCTGCTTTATCAGATCCAGATCCAAGACTTCTATTATCTGGTTTCTCAGTCTAGTGTGACCAGGCAGCAAGAAAGATAAGAGAGTCTACAAGAGAACACAGCTAAGTTTAATCAAAATTTCTCACACACTATTTTTCATTATATGTGAAAGGATTTGTAACTATCCATATAAGGACTTACCAACTGCTACTGTAATGTTCCACATATTATAACCTCTTATTCAACAAATCTACAGAAAAACAAGTTTATGAATCATTTCCAATAACTACTTAAGCTTCCACTTAAGCTCTAGGTAGCAATTAAATGGAAAAAACAGTTAATGGTAAGAAGAGGGAAACATTTATTAACAAACACCTATGAGCCAACCACGGAGGCCAATTACCCTGGATATATTTCTTCTCTGATTACTACTGCTCAAGGCATTGCAAAATCAGTCCTTCTACCAAGTCTTCTCTACCCAAATGCCCCACAGCATTCATACCTATTAAAATTTATAAATAAGCTAGAGGCTGGAAACAGCATGGTCTTAAATCCCAGCACTTTGGGAGGCCAGAGCAGGAGGATTGCTTGATCCCAGAAATTTGAGACCAGCATGGGGAATGCAGTGAGACCCCCAGCTCTACAAAAACAAACAAACAAAAAGGCCAGGTGTGATAGAACACACCTGTAGTCCCAGGTACTAGGGAGGCTGAGGCGGGAGGATTGCCTAAGTCCAGGAGTTCAAGGCTGCAGTGAACTATGACTGTGGCACTGTTCTCCAATTGGAGCAACAGATCAAGATCCTGTCTCATAAATAAATATAGAAATAAAAACCTAGACTTTGTAAATTTTTTTATGCCTTCAGGTTATTGCGTGAAATTAAAAAACAACAACAAAAGGGCATTAAGCAAAAAATATTCTTGATCTACATCTCAACAAGTCATTAATCTTCTTGATCCTTCAATTCTGCAAAGTCTTCTGGCATAGTAACACAAAGGTTGACTAAACAGTCCTAATATATCAGAAAAGTACCACAATTTATTCTTTGCCTCACCTCTTTGATTTCTCCTAAAAGTTTAATAGCATGGTCATATGTTGGGGGGTCTTCACTTAGCTGAACACTCAAGCAATCCCAGAAAGCTTTATGTACAATCTCCTTTACTCTCTTCTGCAAACTGGAGGCAATGAGAAAAAAAAAAAAAGGCAAAAACTAAAATATTTAAGTCTGAAATCACTTTCAAAGGCACAAATTCTTAGGGTAAGAAACCTTAATAATAATTTGCATCAAGGAAAGATTCCCCAGAGATACTTAAACTGATGCCATACCTTTAGCTAGTGGGGTTTTTTTGTTTTGTTTTGTTTTATTTTTTTGAGACAGAGCCTCAAGCTGTCGCCCGGGGTAGAGTGCTGTGGCATCACTGCTCACAGCAACCTACAACTCCTGGGCTCAAGCGATTCTCTTGCCTTAACCTCCCAAGTAGCTGGGACTACAGGTGCCTGCCACACTCCTGACCATTTTTTGGTGGTAGCTGTCATTGTTGTTTGGCAGGCCCAGGCTGGATTTGAACCTGCCAGCTCTGGTATAGCCGCCTGAGCTACAGGCACTGAGCCACTAGTGATTTTTTTCAATAAGTATTTCATAGGAAAGATCTTTCAACTAATTTAATAGCCAACATTATCCAATTAACAGCACATGAAAATACCATATTAAAAAATATTGAGGCTCGGCGCCTATAGCTCAACTGGCTAAGGCACCAGCCATGTACACCTAAGGTGGCGGGTTCGAATCCCCAGCCCGGACCCGCCAAAACAACAATGACGGCTGCAACCAAAAAATAGCCGGACGTTGTGGCGGGCGCCTGTGGTCCCAGCTACTTGGGAGGCGGAGGCAGGAGACTCACTTGAGCCCAGGAGTTGGAGGTTGCTGTGAGCTGTAATGCCAGGGCACTCTACCCAGGGGGACAGCTTGAGGCTCTGTCTCAAAAAAAAAAAAAATTGAAAAGTTCATAGATATTAATTTTTAGTTCCCTGATACTAGCAATTTCCTTAAGATTTTTATAATTAAGTAGTTAAGATACAGTAATTTAGCATGTAATGTGGGGAAAGACTTATTTCCTAAAATTATCCTATTCTCATGGGATACACGTGACAGTTGCTTAACTTGGTACCAAACTGTAATGACGTAATGACGTATATTTAACATCTCTTTAAAACCAGTCTTTATGGCTTGGCGCCTGTAGCATAGTAGTTAATGGCTCCAGCCACATACACCCCGGCTGGTGGGTTCAAATCCAGCCCAGGCCTGCTAAATAACAATGATAACTGCAACCAAAAAATAGCTGGGCATTGTGGTGGGCACCTGTAGTCCCAACTACTTGGGAGGCTGAGGCAAGAGAATCGTGTAAGCCCAAGAGTTGGAGGTTGCTGTGAGCTGTGACGCCACAGCACCCTACTGAGGGCGATGTAGTGAGACTCTATCTCAAAATAACCAAACAAACAAACAAAAAAACAGTCTTTATGCCTTGAAAGCAAAACAAGTAATTCTTCATTATTAATGGGAAAAAGTACTATCTTTGAATGCATACAAGAAATACTTATAAAGTCATATTTAGAAGCTTCCTATGGGAGACACTACAGCTTACCAACCCAACAACCACTCCTTCCCCTTTGTTAACAAAATCCCAATGTTTGTCAGAGCAGCAATATACTTTGCCCATGAAAATAAATCATGACTGATCTAATAAGCTTGAGTTCCATTCCCCTTTGCTGGATTTAAGCTTTCCAGGCTCACTTTTAGCTAGGGTAGCATGTAACCAAATTCTAACAGAACATTAGGGGCTGTCTGATTTATGACTCCAGGGAAAAATGTTCCTCTCCAATGACAGAAGAGCCCTGGTTCACCTATCTTTTCCCTCTTGCCTACAATGCTGGTGAATGATGAGATGCTTGGAGCTGCAGCATTCATCCTGCAACCACGAAGAATAGGCCAAGAGAAATCAGACACCAATCCACAGCCCTCACATCAGTGGACTGCTGAAAGAAAGGCACTTACACCTCTACTTCCTTGACTCTAACACTTTTTTCTCCCATTTTAATATCTCTGAAACTTGAATCTGTCTTAAAACCAATGGCAGTTTTACAACTATAATGAGCAGTTTTCTCTTTCTTATGATGGTACATGTTTAAAAGGTGCACCTTATAATCACTAGACTTTTTCATTCAATTAAAAAAATGATATGTGCTAGGCACTAGGGACACAGAGAATAAACCATAGTCATTGACTTTGTGGAATTTATGACCTGGTAAAGAAATTCAAGTAAACCAACAACTATAGTGTAATGTGACAGCTGCAGAGAAATAAATGAAACAATGCAATGAAAACACAAGATGAGGCAGCTAAACCGTACTGAGCAGAGAAAAGTTGACATGAAAGACTTTCATGGGAGATTTCCAGACCCTTCATTTGCATTTTGAAGGATCAGTGTTGCTGAAATCCACTTTCAAACTCTAGTAATTCCTAGTACAAGAATAATTTTTAGCAACAATGTACAAAAGAAAAAATGTGTTTGAATATATTGGCATCAATTGAAGGAAACATTTCCAAAACTGGGAAATGGCAGTGTTCTACTAAATAACATTACTTATTAACTCCCTTACCTGCCTTCTGGTAATTCAACTGGTTTAATCTGAAAGTCTCCATTTACTACAATTTCATGAGCTAGAGCCATGTTAGTGACTCCTTTTGCTGTCTCCTGAAGTTCTTCTACTGTCACAAATTGAGGAGGACTAGCTGTAACAAAAAAAGAGTAAGAGAGTTGCTTTTCTAGATTAGAATTTCTGTTAAAATAAGCAGTGGTTCTGATACCAGATGACAATTTCAATTATGCCTCCATTAAAATGTCCTGGAATTTTCAAACAACAGCAGAATTTTGCCTATTTCACATTCATTTTTCTTTTAACCTAGAACCCCCAAAGCAGAGAACATTTATAATACTAAAAACATCTGGTTTTTACTAAGACTGGTCAATGGAAAATAATTATAGTAAACTGACACCAGAAAAACTTAAGTTAGAGATTATCATCTTCCCAATAAGATGAGGATTTATTTTTCTCATCCTTTTGCCTCCTGTCTACCCTAAAAAAAAGTAAAAAGTAGATTTAAGATCTTCTCTTCTGCTCTCATCAGCAGTTTACTTTTGTATTACCACTAATACTGTGCCATGAATGAATCTCCCCAAATTAAAGTAGCATCAAGTCCTTCAGGGTGCCAGGTGCTGTTTAAACAAAGCTAAAATCACCACCTTGCACAGGATCCTAAGACTATGAGAGCTCTGAAGCAGACTAATGTATGCAGCACAAAAATGTATGCAGCACAAAAATGTTATAGAATGCAGGTGGACTAAACCAAAAGCTTTGGGAAAAGTCATATTTGGGCCCGGCATGGTGGCTCACACCTGTAATCCTAGTACTTTGGGAGGTCAAGGAGGGAAGATGGATTGAGACTAAGAGTTCAAGATCAGCCTAGGCAACATTGTGAGACATCTCTACATAAAAACACAAAAATAAGGAAAAGAAAATCTAAAAATAAGAAGTAAAGGTTCGGCGCCTATAGCTCAACAGGCTAAGGCGCCAGCCACGTACACCTAAGGTGGCGGGTTCGAATCCCCAGCCTGGACCCGCCAGACAACAATGACAGCTGCAACCAAAAAATGGCCGGGCGTTGTGGCGGGCGCCTGTGGTCCCAGCTACTTGGGAGGCAGAGGCAGGAGACTCGCTTGAACCCAGGAGTTGGAGGTTGCTGTGAGCTGTAATGCCAGGGCACTCTACCCAGGGCAACAGCTTGAGGCTCTGACTCAAAAAAAAAAAAAAAAGAAGTAAAAGCTGCTCCAAATAAAAAAAAAAATCAGTGAACGACCTCAGATACATGAAAAATCAGAGTGAAAGGCCACACCCCTCCCATGAAAACAATAACTCTGTACCAACGGAAACCAGCCAAAATGAGAATACTGAAATGACTGATAATGAATTTCAAATATGGATTGTAAAGAAGCCCCATGAAATACAAGAGAAAATAGAAACCCAACACAAAGAAATCAAAGAAACAATGTAGGAAATGAGTAAAGAAATTGAACCTGCTGCCCTTGAACTATATTTTAAAAATCAAGCAGAGGGCAATGCCTGTGGCTCAGTGAGTGGCGCTGGCCCCACGTATCGAGGGTGGTGGGTTCAAACCCAGCCCCGGCCAAACTTCAACAAAAAACAGCTGGGCATTGTGGGGGGCGCCTGTAGTTCCAGCTACTCGGGAGGCTGAGGCAAGAGAATTGCCTAAGCCCAGGAATGGGAGGTTCTGTGATGCCATGGGATTCTACCAAGGGCAACAAAATAAGACTCTGTCTCTAAAAAAAAAATCAAGCAGAGCTTCTGGAAATGAAAATTTCATTCAAGGAAATATAAAATACAGTGGAAAGCATTAAGAACAGACTAGACCAGGCAGAAAAAAAATCTCAGAGCTAGGCTTGGCTCCCGTAGCTTAGCAGCTAGTGTGACAGCCACTTACAACGGAGTTGTCGGGTTCAAATCCAACCCAGGCCTGCCAAATGACAATGACAACTGCAACCAAAAAATAGCCAGGCATTGTGGCAGGTACCTGTAGTCCCAGCTACTTGGGAGGCTGAGGTAAGAGAATCGCTTAAGCCCAAGAGTTTGAGGTTGCTGTGAGCTATGACACCATGGCACTGTACTGAGGGTGACAAAGTGAGACTGTCTCAAAAAAAAAAAAAAAAGAAAAAGAAAAGAAAAGAAAAAAAGGAACCAAATCTAAGAGTTGATCATAGACTGGTAAAAATCTTTATTTGGTCACTTAAGAGGAAGTTGGAAAAACTCTCAAAATTCCTTCTTACAAAATTTCCACATAATAAGAATATAGAATAAATCACTCAGCTTCCAAATTTCCACAAATAAATCTATCGATTAAACACAATCCCATCAAAATTCCAGCAGGCTTTTTTTTTTTGCAGTTTTTGGCTGGGATGGGTTTGAAGCCACCACCCCAGCATATGGGGCCAGCACCCTACTCCTTGAGCCATAGGCACCGCCCTCCAGCAGGCTTTTTAGTTGAAATTGCCAAACTGGTTCTAAAACTTATATGTAAATGCAAAAGACCTACAAAAGCCAAAACAAGTTTGAAAAAGAAAAATAGAGAACTTACACTAACTGATTCCAAGACTTACTATAAAACTACAGTAATCAAGACAGTGGATTTTTGACAGGTGAACAGATATAAAGAGCAGATATAAAGGGCAGAAAATTAATAAAATGGTTGGCATATACATACACATAAACATATGTATGTTTGTGATCAACAAAGATAGGTTTTTTAAGTAAATAGTGCTAGAACAATTAGATTTCTATATGTAAAAGAATGACCCTCACATGATAAACAAAAACTCCAAATGCATCATAGTCTAAATATAAGAGCTATGACTATACAACTTCTAAATGACAAATATCATTTGTGATGTTGGATTAACTAAATATTTCTTAGATGGGACACAAAAAGCTCAAACTACAAAAGAAAAAACTGATACATTGGACTTCTTCAAAATTTATGACTTTTGCTTTGTGAAAGACTATTAAGAAAAGGAAAGGGCCAGGAGCAGTGGCTCACGCCTGTAATCACTTTAGGATGGTGAGATGGGAAGATCACTTGAGCTAAGAAGCTGGAGACCAGCCTAAGCAATAGCAAGACTTTGTCTCTACTAAAAATAGAAAAATTGGCTCAGCTCCCACAGCTCAATGCTTATGGCCACCAGCCATATACATTGAGGAAGGCAGGTTCCCGGCCTGGGCCTGCTAAACAACAATAACAACTGCAACAACAACAAAAATAGCCAGGTGTTGTGGCAGGCCCCTGTAGTCCCAGCTACTTGGGAGAGTGAGGCAGGAGGATCACTTGAACACAGGAGTTTGAGTTTGCTGTGAGCTAGACTGATGTCACTGCACTCTAGCCTGGGGCAACAGAGTGAAACTATATCTCCAAAAGGAAAAAATAAAGAAAAGACAACGCCGGGCTACTTTTTGGTTGCAGTTGTCCTTTAAGATAGTAACAGGATATGTTATAGAGCCACACACAGAGGAATTACATTCATTGCATACAAACTATTAGAACTGTGGTAGAGTTTTCTTTTCACTTATTTTTTGAGAGTTCTCAGATGTACCAATTTCATAAATAAAAACTTAGAAAGATACAATTTAGTGGACAACACAGCTTTAGCTCAACTTGTGAAAAGAACCTGAGTTGGAATAAGAGGCATGAAAAGTGCTAAGTGACCGTAGTCCCAGCTACTTGGGAGGCTGAGGCAAGAGAATCATTTAAGCCCAAGAGTTAGAGACTGCTGTGAGCTATGACGTGACAGCACTCTACTGAGGGCAACATAGTGAAACTGTGTCTCCAAAAAATAAAGTGATAAGGTTACATTGGACACAGTGGTGTGCAGTCCCAGCTACTCAGGATGCTGAGGTGTGAGGATTTCTTGAGCCCAAGAACTCAAGAAGGCCAAACTAGGCAAACAGGGAGGTGCTGTGTCTTTAAAAGTTTTTTTAAAACTTGGGTGCGGGACACAACTACAACTATACAGATACTGTAACTATCTAACAAATGCAAACATTGCAACCTACTGGTTTGTACCCTCACATTAATCTGAAATTTAAAAAAATAAAAATAAATTTTTTAAATGTTACATCCATCCTACCCTGGAGGTTATGTGATATAAAGCTATATGGATTTGTGTATTGATGCCCTGTTAGAGAAACTGAAAACCACATTAAGTTAAACATAGCCTTTGGGAGGCCAGCTGACAGATTCCAAACTAAAATGAAGTTCTAAATTAGAATGGCTGTACTCCCTGCCCTTCTTTACTAAGGTGTCCTAGGATCTGAGACATCTACACACTCTAGAAAGACACTTTTAGTCACATAAGTAGATGGATATTTATGGAAGGCAGATGGCAACTGTCACCCAAACAACTACTATAGTATATTAAGTCAGGGTGAAGATTATCCATATAACTTATTACACTGAATAGAAATTGCTTGTTAATCTGTCTTCTTCACGAGACTGCAAGCTCCATGAGGACAGAGACAGTATGTGTCTGGCTCACCACTAAAACCCAATACACAGTATGTACTCCATAGACAGGGAGACACCATAATGCAAAGTTTAGTCATAAGCTTCAGAAATGTAAGAACTCCACCTATAGTCCCAGCTACTTGGGGGGCTGAGGCAAGAGAATCACTTGAGCCCAAGAGTTGGAGGTTGCTATGAGCTGTGAAGCCCTAGCACTCTACCGAGGGTGACATACTAAAACTCTGTCTCAAAAAAAAAGAAATGTAAAAACTCATGTCATCCATTCATCTAAAATGAATGGAGTGAATCCTTCGATAGCTCAGTTGGTGAACGGAGGACTGTAGTGGATAAAATGAATGGAATCTACTAATTAAACTCAAAAGGACCTGATTTAATAAACCAAAGTAGTAAGTGGGAAACATTAACTGGAATAACAACTGATGTCTGTCATCTGAATATGGCATCCTTTTTTTTTTTTTTTTGATGAAACAGAGTCTCAGTCACCCTGGGGTAGAGTGCCTGATGTCAGTTCATAGCAACCTCAAACTCTTGGACTGAATCAATTCTCTTGCCTCAGCTTCCCAGTAGCTGGGAATATAGGTACCCACCACAACACCTGGCTATTTTTTTTTTTCTTTTAAGAGATGTGGTCTCATTCCTGCTCAGGCTGGTGTCGAACTCCTGAGCACAGACCATCCACCCACCTCAGCCTTCCAGAGTGCTAGGATTACAGGCGTGAGCCCCCACACCCGGGCCTGAATATGGCATCTTTTACTGGTCAACCTAGGTGATTAAAAGTTAGAACACGCTCGGCGCCTGAGGCTCAAGTGGCTAAGGCACCAGCCACATACACCTAAGGTGGCGGGTTCGAATCCAGCCCGGGCCCGCCAAACAA